TTTTTACAGAGGATCAGTTTAGTATGCATTAAGTAAGGATTTCAACAGTTTGCACCCCCATAGAAACACAAAGTGAAATATATTGTTTGAGTACTCGTTATAGCATTAAATCTCAATGTACAGCACATTAAGGACAGAGATCCTACATGAGGAGTAAGTGCACAGTGTCTCCTGTTGTTGACTTTACCAATTGACACTCCTGTCTATGGCATCAGTAATCTCCCTATGCTCCACTGGAAGCATCACTGAAGAACATTGCAATTTAAAATATTATTTTATTTATTTAATTTTTTGAGAAAAAGAGAGAGATCATCTATCTACCAGTCTACTAATCAGATTTCCACAACAGCCTGCTCAGCCAGGAGCTTGGAACTCAATCCAATTCTTCCACATGGGTGTCAGGGACCCAACTCTTGACTCAACACCTGCTTCGTACCAGGGTGTCCATTAGCAGGAAGTGGAATTAGGAACAGAGCAAAGACTTGAATCCTAGAACTCTCATATGGGATGAGGGCATCCCCAGCAATATCTTACTGCTGCACCATCTGGAGAGAACACTGCGTTTTTGATGGAAAGGAAGTTTTGTTTCTTTCTATCGATTTCTAAGCACATACTTTGTGGTTAGCCCATGTTTGTGGATTAAGTGAATGACCAAATAATATGTAACTTCAAAGTGAAGAGGTGAGTTTAAATAATTACATAGATATCTCAATAAAACATCATATGAATGCCTCAATTATTACCCAGAAATTATCCCGTTTCCAAATCACTTACCTCTGTTACATCTTCACTTGATATTCTTCTATCTGTGAAGACAGGAAGAAGTATTTTTTTCCCCTAATTCAACCTCAGGATGTAACTTCTTTGTTTACATTCACCTTGTCTCACAACCATGTACTATTAAATTCTGGTGAGCTGCTATATGAGTTCTAACCTAAGTGAAATACAGTGTGGAAACTACTGTACCTCTCTCATTTCTATGACTACAAGCTTCCAATTATTCATATTTTTCTCAGAAAATATTCATTGTATTCATATATAGCTATTTTAAAAGACTGGCAAGACTCTCTTGAGATTTTCAATCAATATTTTTTAGTTATGAAGTTTCCAAGAATGAAATCCTTCACTTAACACAAAATATTTTCAGGATATTACACCAAGTTTCGTGAACATAAATTTCATTGTTGAATCCTAAAGGAACAAAGAGACCTCAGACAGCATCTAACTCAAATTCCTTATGTTTCAGAGAAAGAAATTAAACCACAGTATAATATAAAGAGTACTTCCTTAGGTCACATTGCCAGCTAAAACGCTAACACATTTAAAATGAAAATCCAGGATAATACTTTTTGTATTATCTGTTTTAAGTCAATTTTTCTGGCTTATTTTTGCTTTTTCTATACCAGCATTTTATAACAAGAACACAAACAATAAACCATTAAATCAAAAATAAATAGAAACAAAATTAACAAATAAAAGAGGAAATCAGAAATCAGAAAAAGAAGACAAAATGCAAACTACTGAAGCTTGCATCAGCCACCGTTTGGGTCTAATGTTTAAATTTACTACAATTTCAAAATCTCAGACCTCATTCACTAGCTTGTGATAAAAAGATAGATGTATATTTGCTTTCAATACCCAACTTCAATAGTAAGAGGCCCCATCCATATAATTTTTGGTAATGACCTCTTCTCAGTATGATCCTTGTTTATTTCCATGAAGTCTCCGAAGTACTGCTTCTTGTTTGCCTGGAAAAAGCTTCCCCAAGTTTTCTGTTGTTTTCACTGTCCCCCTGGACTACTGGCTTACCTTCCAGTGAAATCTGTGCCATAGCTGCTTCAGGGCACGTAGTCCTCTGCTGGGCGTCACTTCTGTTCTGCCCCTTTGCTCTCTGCTGGTCCATCTGGAGGGTGGAACATGCCTTTCCACAATTATCCACAGCAAGAAGGAGACTAGATTAAAGTCTTAGATAAAAATTCTGGGGTTTTTGGACACGAAAAGAACACACAAAGAATAGAACATTACTAGAAAGGCTCAGAGCAATCCCAGAATGTCTTCTTGGCCAGTTCTTGGCTTAATCCTGTCCTGCCTTATTTACAGTGATCAGAGCAGTACCTATTCACCACTGAAGTGTTGCAAGGATTTTCATGCCTTAGATTCTTTTTTTTAATTTAATAAATGTGAATTTACAAAGTGCAACTTTTGCATTGTTGTGGCTTCCCCCCCAACCTCCCTCCCTCCCGCAGCCCGCCCCTCTCACACTCCCTCTCCCATCTCGCCCTTCATCGAGTTTCATTTTCAATCACCTTCATATACAGAAGATCAACTTAGTCTATACTAAGCAAGGATTTCAACAGGCTGCACTTACACAACCGCACAAGGTATAGGGCATTGTTCGACTAGTAGTGTTGTTCTTAAGTTTCATAGTAAAACACATTAAGGACAGAGATCCTATGTGGGGAGCCTGTACTCAGTGACTCCCGTTGTTGATTTAACAATTGGCACTCTTATTCATGACGTCAGCAATCACCTGAGACTCTTGCCAAGAGCTGTCTAGGCTATGGAAGCCCCTTGAGTTCACCAACTCTGAACTTGTTTAGTCAAGGCTGTATCACAGTGGAGGTTCCTTTCTCCCTTCAGAGAAAGGCGCCTCCCTCCTTGATGGCCTGTTCCTTCTGCTGGGGTCTTGTTCACCAGGATCTTTCATTTAGGTTGTTTTTGCCACTGTGTCATGGCTTTCCATGCCTGTGAGACTCCCATGGGCCTTTTAGTCAGATCTGAATGCCCCAAGGGTTGATTCTGAGGCAGGAGTGCTGTTTTGGGCATTTGCCATTCTATGAGTCTGCTGTGTGTCCTGCTTCCCCCGCAGGGTCATTCTCTCCCTTTTAATTCTATCCTTCATTATTTGCTTACACTGGTCTTATTTGTGAAATCTCTTCAACACTTACCCTATCTTTTTGATCGGTTATGTACTTATACTTATCACTTTACCAAGTGCGCTGGCATTGGTACCTGCCTCCTTGGTAAGACTGAGTTGAAATCCCCTGGCACATTTCTAGTTCCACCGTTGGAGGTAAGTCGAGTGAGCATGTGCCGTCCTATATATCTCCTCCCTCTCTTACTCCCACTCCTATGTTTAACAGAGATCACTTTTCTGTTAATTTTAAACGCCTAAGAATGATAGTGCATTGATTACAGAGTTCAACCAGTGGTATTAAGTAGAACAAACAGAGCAACAACAGCAACAGCAACAACAACAAAAATACTAAAAGGAATAAAATAGTAAGTTGTTCCTCAACAGTCTAGACAAGGGCTGATCATGTCATTGTCTCTCATAGTGTCCATGTCACTTCAATGGGTATCATTTTAGATGCTCGTTTAGTTGCCATCGATCAGGGAGAACATATGATATTTGTCCCTTTTGGACTGGCTTATTTCACTCAGCATGATATTTTCCAGATTCCTCCATTTTGTTGTAAATGCCCAGATTTCATTGTTTTTTTACTGCTGTATAGTATTCTATAGAGTACATGTCCCATAATTTCTTTATCCAGTCATCCGTTGATGGACATTTAGGTTGATTCCATGTCTTAGCTATTGTGAATTGAGCTGCAACAAATATTGAGGTGCAAATGGCTCTTTTTTTCTCCCCTTTAATTCCATTTGGGTATATTCCAAGGAGTGGGATGGCTGGGTCCTGTGGTAGTGCTATACTCAGGTTTCTGAGGATTCTCCAAACTGTCTTCCATAGTGGCTTTACCAGTTTGCACTCCCACCAACAGTGGATTAGTGTCCCTTTTTCCCCACATCCTCGCCAGCATCTGTTGTTGGTTGATTTCTGTATGTAAGCCAATCTAACCGGAGTGAGGTAAAACCTCACTGTGGTTTTGATCTGCATTTCCCTGATGGCTAGGGATTCTGAGCATTTTTTCATGTGTCTGTTGGCCATTTGGATTTCCTCTTTTGAAAAATGTCTGTTAAGGTCCTTGGCCCATCTTTTTATTGGGTTGTTTGTTTTGATTCTGTGGTGTTTCTTGATCATTTTATAGATTCTAGTTGTTAATCCTTTTTCTGTTGTGTAGTTTGTGAATAACGTCTCCCATTCTGTCGGTTGCCTCTTCACTTTCCTGATTGTTTCCTTTACTGTAAAGAAACTTTTCAGTTTGAGGTAATCCCATTTGTTTATTTTATCTTTGATTACCTGTGCCTCTGGGGTCTCCTCCAGGAATTCTTCGCCTGTTCCAATATTGTTTCCCTCTCCTAGGATTAACTTTCTTTTTAAAATATTCATTTCAAAGATGGAAAGAGAGCGAGCAAGTCAGCAAAGAGAGATCTTCCAACTGCTGATTCACTCTTCAGAATGCCTACAACAGCCAAGACTGGGCCAGGTCGAAGCCAGGAGCCTTGAATTCAATCTGGCTTCCCATTTGGCTGGTAGGGATCCAATAACTTGAGCTATCACCTGCTCCCTTCCAGGAAGCTGGAACTGGAAGTGGATCCAAGACATGAACCCAGGCAGCAGGAATCCCAAGTGGCATCTGTACTGCTGCATTACATCCCCCCTTTGACATATGCTTAGTATTGAGGATGAGTTGCATCCTGGCCCTTAAGATGCCATCTTTCCTAATGGCATCAACAAGATCATTGTGTAATATAGTTTACCTTAAAATGGAAGATAGAAATAAAAATAAGCTTATTTTGCCAAAAAAACATGAAATCTATAATGGTGGATAGGGCAGTACCAAGCTTAATGTAATATTGTTTTAGCATGCCTATGTTACGGATTCAAAAAATTTACAATTTAATCACTCTCAGAGTACCATTCTAAGATTCCTTGCAGCCAAAGCAAAATTATAGTTAAATAATTTATGTTAGCAGAGGAAAAGAAATATATTAGTTCTTTCACAGAAATGATTATAACTATGTCATTAGGTACATGTGTACTATTCTTGGATTTAAGGATATGAGAGCAAAAACTCCGTACAAAACCAACTACAAAGAAAAGTAAGAGTAGTAATTGGTATCAGAAGTTTTATTAAGTGAAATCTACTGCCAATGAAGGAAAGAGTACTTTCTGTCTGGAAGTTTCAGATGTTTTCTTAATTTCCTGGATTACTATTGTTGTAAGTGCACATACTGACAGGTGAGACACAGAAACCTTTAGTTACAGTTCCTGGGTCAAATTTAGCCTATATAAGGAAGGCTGAATGGTCATGTATTGAGGATTCCTAGTTTTAGAAACTGGATTAAAAGTGCTCTAAGATATTATCTGACACTGACACTGTAAAATTTGGAGAATTAATGAATCTATTCAATAAAAATAATAGATAAGGGAGCTTTCACTTGAGACTGGACTATTTACCTAAAACATGTGGACCAAAGTATCTGACTAGGATGACATGACATTCAACAGTAGCCATGTTTTCCTTTTCATGTTAATAGTCCTGCACAAAAACTTCTCCAAACAGTTGCTTTTTTGGCAACTACAAGTTCACTAAGCTATCAGTGGGCTAATACTACTTGGTATTTGTAATCAAACACTGTTTTTGACTGGATTTTATTTGTTTAGTTTTTTAAAAATTATGATCATAGCAAACTATATATGTGGATTGATTTGCTTTACTGTTGACAGTCATAAATAAAATAGAAGTGACAAGTGAGAAAGTTCTGGATTTATAATAACAGGATCAGTTTTTTCTTGTGATCTTTTCCTATTGCTCACAGAAATAGAAACAGAGAATTATGCTTTAATTGAGAGCTTGCATTTTTAAATAAACCTATATTCTTGCCAAACATTTGTTTTATATTGCATCAGTCCATAAGCTTAATCAACTAGAAAAATAGAATTTTTATATTAAATTGTGTACCTAATATTTTTAGGATTTATTTTATACCTAAAATTTTTTTAACTTTTATTTAGTGAATATAAATTTCCAAAGTACAGCTTATGGATTACAATGGCTTCCCCCTCCATAACTTCCCTCCCACCCACAACCCTCCCCTTTCCCGCTCCCTCTCCCCTTCCATTCACATCAACATTCATTTTCTTTTCTTTTCTTTTTTTTTTTTTTTGACAGGCAGAGTGGACAGTGAGAGAGAGAGACAGAGAGAAAGGTCTTCCTTTGCCGTTGGTTCACCCTCCAGTGGCCACCGTGGCCAGCACGCTGCGGCCAGCGCACTGTGCTGATCCGATGGCAGGAGCCAGGTACTTCTCCTGGTCTCCCATGGGGTGTAGGGACCAAGCACTTGGGCCATCCTCCACTGCACTCCCTGGCCACAGCAGAGAGCTGGCCTGGAAGAGGGGCAACCGGGACAGAATCCGGCGCCCAGACCAGGACTAGAACCTGGTGTGCTGCCGCCGCAAGGCGGAGGATTAGCCTAGTGAGCCGCAGCGCCGGCCAAGATTCATTTCAATTCTCTTTATATACAGAAGATCAGTTTAGCATATATTAAGTAAAGATTTCAACAGTTTGCTCCCACATAGAAACACAAAGTGAAAAATACTGTTTCAGTACTAGTTATAGCATTAAATCACAATGTACAGCACATTAAGGACAGAGATCCTACATTAGGTTTAAGTGCACAGTGACTCCTGTTGTTGACTTAACAATTTGACACTCTTGTTTATGGCATCAGTAATCACCCAAGGCTCTTGTCATGAGTTACCAAGGTTATGGAAGCCTTTTGAGTTCACCAACTCTGATCATATTTAGACAAGGTCATATTCAAAGTGGAGGTTCTCTCCTCCCTTCAGAGAAAGGTACCTCCTTCTTTGATGACCCATTCTTTCCACTGGGATCTCACTTGTGGAGATCTTTCATTTAGGTCATTTTTTTTTTTTTTGGCCAGAGTGTCTTGGCTTTCCATGCCAGAAATACTCTCATGGGCTTTTCAGCCGGATCCACATGCCTTAAGGGCTGATTCTGAGGCCAGAGTGCTGTTTAGGACATCTGCCATTCTATGAGTCTGCTGTGTATC